ACTGCCACAGGGGCTGCAGCCCATGCCGTCGCCTGCAACTCACGGCAGCCCAGCTCCAGGTTGAGCTGTTGTTCAGCATCTTAGGTGTAGAGGACAGTGTCACTGGCCCTCATATGTGGGATACAAACCGGGGCCCTCTGGCGTCCCAAGCCAGCTCTTAACCAACGCGCCACTCGGCCGGCCCTGAGACTCTTTGCTGTTAATTACACTTTCCACATGTTGATCCCACCAGGATTCCCTGATTCTGGAGTTCCCACTGTCAAGTATGCTCAGTAGTTACCTGTGGGCTGCAGGTGGGGGATGGACACTCTTTTTGGTCCCCAGGCTTCCTGGCCTCTCAGTTCTCCTGGCTTTCAAAGATCATCCAGGCCAGGAGGCCTTCCCCATTTACTGTCTCGCCCACCTCCCTGGCAATTCTTTGGAGGTACTCCTCAAACCCTGGAGGTTTCCAGGGAAATACAAACACAGGAGCTCAGTCAAGGTTCAAACCTGGCCCTGCAGGATGGGGAGGCTGGAGGCTCTGGGGGAAGCAGTTGTGAGGCAGGTGATACTGCTGTCATCCCCACCCCCAATTCTCTGGGCCCCTCACAGGAAGTTTTGCATTTGGTTGTACATGACTAATTGATGGCATAGAACCTCCAAACCCAAGATCCGCCTTCCCCCCACCCCCCATCTAGAGAGGCTGCACCCTGCCCCTTTGGAAGGGCCAGCTTCCAAACCTTCCCAGTGGGGCACTTCCCTTGTCCGGAGGCCCCAGCGTGGAGGCTGGGACAGGAAGCAAGGTCTCGGTGGACTTGCTGCCTCCAGGCGGTGCCCCTCCCTGGTCGGCCCTTATCCCAAAAGGGCAGAAGCCCTTCCTCCCCTCCCTGTGGGGGATGTGAGCAGCCTCTGGGTCTGCAGCCTCCAGAGGCTACCAGTGGTGGGAAGCGCCAGACCGGCCCCTGGCTGGCAGGATGAGGTCGGAAAGTTGAGCATTTGGGTTTCATTCCTCTAGAGCAGGGGTCAGCAAACTTTTGAGCTGGAAGAGCCAACCCTCACAATTGAAAAATTATTCAAGAGCCATAAAACAAATGAAATTACCATTATGTGAATAATCGCCTTTAAACATTTTATTTTATTTTTTTTTAAGCTGAGCCATCCTGCTACCTATTGGCAGCTTAGCGGCAGTTCAGCTCAGGCCGGGCATCGAACCGCTGTTGCTCAGAGCTCAAGAGAAGCCACATCCCCCAGCTCCCCCACCCTTGTCTTGAATGGCAGGGCAGGGCTGTGAGTTTCAGGCTGCAGCAGGAACCATCACTTATAGGCCCGTTTAATCCGGGTCAGAGTTCTGCGAAGTGGCCATTTGGCCCCACTTTACAAGTGCGGGATGACCAAGGCACAAAGGGTGCAGTAAATGGCCCAGGTGGCAGAGTCGCTGCCCTCACTCACCTTAGATCCCAGACTCCCTCCCAGCGCTCCACATGGCCCTGGCCCGGGACACCATGTTCTAAGGCAGAGGGCGCCGAAGCTCCAAAGCTGTAGAGCAGGGGTCAGCAAACTGCAGGTCGCGAACCACATGCGGCTCTTTAGGTACAGACATGTGGCTCTGAGGTAAAATTGAAAATAAAAATAGGGCCGGCCGAGTGGCGTGTTGGTTAAGAGCTAGCTTGGGATGCCAGAGGGCCCCGGTTCGGATCCCACATATAAGGGCTAATGACACTGCCCTCTACAGCTAAGATGCTGAACAACAGCTCGACCTGGAGCTGGGCTGCCATGAGTCGCCCACGATAGCGTAGGCTGCAACCCCTGCTGCAGTGGGCTGCCATAAGCTACCGTGTAGCTGGCAGACAGCATAGCATGAGCGGCCAGCAGCCGCCGTGAGCGGCCGTCCAGAAGCCGGTGACTGATCTGCCTCGCCCGGAAAGAGCGTAATGATGGTGCCAACTTGGGCCAGTGAAGCAACATCCTCCACAACTAGACTGAAGAACAAAACGACAGCAACTTGTCTGTTCCCCTCCCCCAATTCCCCAATAAAACCTTAAAAAAAGAAAAAGAAAACTATCATAGTTTCATTTATAAAATTTTTAAAGGCAGGCCGGCCAAGTGGCTCAGTTGGTTAAGACAGCCAACTTCCTGGAGCCCCTTCTGGGTTCTGGGGCTCCCAAGCCAGGTGGTCTCCACCTAGGAATTTTATTCTCCGTAGGCCACTGTGGGGTCTGCGAAGGGGAGTTGGCACCCAGCAAAGAGGCATTCCAGGAGGGGTCTGAGGGAAGATCCCCAGTTCCAGGTGGTGGGCCATCTCCTCAACCCCACTCCAGGGACACCTGGGGACTGAGTCTATAAGGACAGGCAACTACGGAAAGTCTTGCTTGTTCAGTGATAGTTTATTGGTCCTTAGCATTACATCTTAGTTACCAAGGTAAATTCACATACACAACTGCAGGTAAAAACATGTAAAATAATATAAAAATAAATTGAAGGCTACTTTTATATATTTACTGAATTAAGTAGTGTAATAAATACTATAAGCAAAAAGCTTCAATCACACAATTCAGTTTCACTGAAGTTACAGTAGTGTCTGTAAATATGAGTTTTAAAATTTAAGTCACAAATATTAAAGCACTGAAAAACTAGTATAAAAGTGAATTTTGGCACACAAGTGAGCTCTTCTTCTGTCATCAGTATTTGACAACCTGGGACAATGAGGAAGCCATTTCTCCCCTACTTTGTGAGGTACAACTATCCATCTAGGTCAGCAACGCGGCTGGAATACTTAATAGTTTACAATCTTTGAGTTAACTTTTCCCTTTTGAGAAGCCTGAAGGAGCAACTCAGAGCTTATTACTGTGCAAAAATTCTCCAAAATCCTAATAGAATTTAGGAGGGAACTTTTTCTTGTGACCTGCAGGGCCCAGTGTCCAGGCCTTGGGTCAGAGAGCCCCCAGGGCTTGGAGGAGCCAGCTTGACTCCTTGCCAGCGGTCCCTTCCTAGGGTGATCCCTTTTGTCCAATTTCTGCCTCCTCCTTCCAATAAAATAAAAATAACAATAAATCCCACATCAAAATGTAAAATGACCCATAACTTCAGCGACTTCAACATTATCACACTCACTCTGGGTGATATAAAACTGAAGCTGCTAACAGGAAAGTTGGCAAAAGCATGTAAGCCCCTGGAGGACTTCTGCCTGTCCCTAGGAACCCACACCTGATGTCTTTGCTGGGTCCTTGGTATCCACGAAGGTCAAAATCTAAAACACAGTGTTAGGGCCCTTCCTCTGGAGACAGCTAAGCCCCCACCCCTCCACCTGGAGCACCTTCCCGGAGGAATCAAGTGGATATTAAACTTCACAGTCAGAACCCAGAGGCCCCGCAGGTTCCGGAAGGGGCAGTGCAGGGCTGGGAGGAAGCACCCTCCTGGCCTCAGTCCTCAAAGAGCTCACACTGCGCACCGCTAGTGTGCCTCTTCATCAGGGGCACACAAAGTGCGCCCCAAGGAATGCCCTTTCACCTATGTGCCCCTTCACACTCCTGAGCAGGCTGAGGAGCGTCTAAGGAGTTTGCCTTTTGGCTTTTAAACTTCTTAATGTTTTGACTTTTTTCAGTCACAGTTTCATATTCAAGTTGAGGTAATCATAGTTTTCCCTCTACAAGGAGAGGAATTGGGACAATGGGGCAAGTTGGTGAGAGAGCATTTCTATGGACAATGGTCAGAAACCAAGACCACCACGTAAGTACAGCCCCACGCAGTGGGAAGACCCGCTATTATGGACGGGTTCCGACCCCTCTTTAAAAACTCTTTTGTGCAGCAGCCAGGAAATGGCTTGAGCTCCTAGATCTGGAGCTTTCATTTAGAACTTCACAGCAACCCACCTGGAGGAAATGACCATGGTCCCCACCCCACCGCCCCCCCTCATTTTTCTAAGGCTGCTCAAGTTTGAGTTTTTAAAAAGAGCTCGGCAGAGCTAAAAGAAGCTACAGTAACTCATTGCTTATTTAATCAATTGCACTTAAGACCTATGTTATTGATTCTGGAGCAGAGATAGGCCCATTGTGACTCCAACCTCTGGCCAGCCAGAAGTCAGGGGCTCCCAGACTTGGGCTCCACACATGGGCCCTTGTCACCAGCAGCTTTGGGAGCTGTGACTAGAGCACATGGGCCTTTTCAGAAGCTTTCCTTCATGCAAGATTTCTAATTCAGTGGTATTTGGAGTTTTGTTCGTTTGGCTTCAAATACAAATTGTTTTTTCTAACACAAATATGTGTTACCGACTAGCCTGTAACGACTGCCTTACTGCTTGCATGCAGGCCTCTGTGTGACCAGGCACATGGACACATGTGCTCCGTCCATTCTCTTGACTCTCCTCTGCGCCAGGGGCCTTTTTCAAAACCCCCACTACATTACTGGAAAATTTGCTGGTTTTGCCTATGTGCTTGTTCCTAAGGCATGCAAAACAAACAAACAAACAAACAAACAAACAAACAAACAAACAAACAAACAAACAAAAAACAGTGAAATTCAGAAAGCATTTATAATCTAGGCAGATGAGGTGCTGAAGCCCTAACAGACATCACCTAAATATCAGTGCCTCTGACCTCCCCTTCTCCCACACTAATCCTGGAGGTCATGCATGGGACTACTGAGAATTCCCCTGTGTTTTATGGTTCAGCTGGAAACAAAGCCACTGGAAGGGACTCTAATTTGGATATTGGAAATCTTTGAAATTCCTGGTCCTCAGGAGTCAAACAATTCCAGGGTCAGCAACAATATTTGGGGGCATGAGTTTCCTGAAGTTTGAGGCTGAAAACCAGGCCTTCCCTGGCAAGGCTGCGGGGAGGGCTGAGTGCTGGAGACAACCCGCTTCGAGGATGCCTCACAGTGATCAGGAACTAAAACTAAGATGCTGCAGGATGCTCCCCTCAACAGTGAGGCAAAGCCCTGCCAGGGAGGCTTGAGCAGCAGGTTTGCTCTGGCCCCTGAATTAGGGAAACTGGAGTGATGCCTTGAGGGGAGCTCAAAGCCAATCCCAAGGGGGACTGCTTGTGTCAATTCAAAAGCCACATGCTTCTGGAAGGCAACATGCCTTTCCCTCAGTTTAGTCTGTAAGGGAAATCCCCTCATTTTAGAACAAACTGTTGGTTTCAGCCCAAGCAGCTGGCTGTGGGTTGGGCTTGGGCAGGGCTTGTGGTGCTCCCCCTAAGACTGGGCCCAGGGCCAGCAGGGCCACAGGGCCAGCTCCTTCAATGGAAGGGGCCTGACCAGGGAGGCAGGCACTGGGGGATAAGGCTCTTCTGGGGCAGTGTCTTGAGGCCTGAGGCCTACAGCAGCCAGTTAGGGCAGCCAGGGTTCTTTCTGCATCCCAGCAGCTCCTCTATTTAATTCAAATGCTCCTCCCCACCCTCACAGTGCTTCAACAGCACTAAAGAAGATGCTATTATCAGAGACCCAGAGGTCCTGGACTGCCAGCCGCACACACAGGACAGTTCCTGTCTGCTCATCCTCCATGAGGACCCCCCAACCCCCCAATTATAGTGGTGCAGGTGATGCTCTTCAGCACTGCAGAAAGAATAAAGACAACATGCACTCAAGCCAGCACACAAAGGCCAAGGGGAACAAAGCCCCTGCAGGGAGGGACCTCCGGGAGAAGTGAGGTTAAGACACCCCGTTTTGTCCATCCCCAGAGGAGCTATTCTGCAGCCTTCCTCTAAGGCTTCTGCTCAAAGAGGTCGTGATACTCCTGCTGCTCCAGCTCGCGGTTATACTTCTCGATTTCCCGGTTGGCTTCTTCCACGTAGTCATTCATGAACTGGTCCATGACTGGCATCTCATTAAGGAAGAGAGCCCTGAGCCTGGGGGACAAGGGAGGCTGCCCTGGTCCGGAGGGATCTATGGGCAGGTGAGGTGGGGCACTCTGAGGTAGTAGGTGCCCAGCCCACACAGAGGGTATCTGATGGGCTCTTTTATATACTGGCAGCACCACAACTACAAAGAATGTGACAGGGGTTGGCATAGGGTCTTTCATTAGGTCTCAGAACTGAGTCCTTCAGCTTTCATTAGCACACAGCAGCACCCCATCCACCTTTGCACAGATTAATTATTGTAATCAGGCCCAGTCTCCAACATGTAAATTATGATCCTGATGACCACAGAACTCAGGATGTTACCACAGCTGCTTTTAAACTACAACCCACAGAATAACATCACCAATCACTAAATGAAGGAGAAATTGAATTTTAACGACTTTAAGAGGCCAAAATGAAGTCCGCCTCTGGGATTTGCTGTGTGTTCCCAGAACGCAGCCTGCTCCGGGGGCTGGGCTTCGGCAGCTTTAGCAGACACTCTCTTTACAGACAGGCTTCCACACCCCCGCCTCCCCCCACCCCCAGCCTTGCTGCCCCAGATTCCAAGGATACGTGGGTGAAAATCAGTCTTGTCACCAAAGAAGTTCACAAACTGGGTGCCATTATAAAAGTAGCCTGCAGGCAGGGGGTCCAGGTGACGTTTCACCTACAGGAAAAAAAGAGTCCTATTAGAATTATTTGACCACTTTTTTTTTTTTTCTGACCACTTTGCATCATTCACTCATTTATTAAAAACAAAAATAAACAAGCCTATTATCCTAGCAAGATAGCAAGCAGGCTATGGGCTGGGGAATCAATACCTCCCACCCCCAGCAGCCCTCCAGCAATGAGATGGAAGGACCCCCACCTCTGGGGAGGAACTCTGGGGATTCCTAACGGGATTAAGCTCCAGTTATTCACAGTGGTACCGGCTGGACAACACACTCTGTTGGCTGTCTCCCCTTCCTTCTTTCTCTCACTTTCCTGTTTCCCTACTGGTGTCTCCTAGAATCATTTCCAAAATAAACTACCTGCACTTAAATCCGTGTTCAAGGTTTGCTTCTGGGGGAACACAACACTACAAGGTCTGCCCTCGGAGATGCTCACAGTGTCCTCCCCAGGAGCACCCAGGGTTGCCCAGGTCCTATAGGGCCTGGAGATGAAGGCGCTCTCAAGTCCAAAGCAGGGAGTCCTGGAGTCCCAGAGCACTCTCCTGCCCCACCTGCTCACTACTGGGACATGCTGGGGCCTGCACTGTCCTAAAGCCCACCAGGATAAGGCTCCTGGGCGAGTAGGGCCGGGGGCAGAAGCTGGAGTCAGTCTGGAGGTTGGGAGGGCTCATCAGGGGCCTGTCGTCCCGGCCTCAGGGTTCCACACAGGTTGCCCGTGAGCAGCTTCTGGACCCACACAGTTTTTCCTGGGCCCTCAGGGTTTACGTAGGACAAAGGGATGGGAGGGGAAAAGGAATTCTTCAGCTGCTTGAACAGGGTGACAGCGCAGGGCTCCATGTTCTTCCCACAGCCACTGATTCCCCTCGATCTCACGCCCAGTAACACCAGGGAATCCCGAAGGATGGAGCTGCACAAGCCTAGGACAGTCTTGGGGCATTTGAGGGGGCTTCAGCCCCAAGGGTAGGGCACTCACGTGAATGTTCCTGATCTCCTGCTGGGTCAGCATCCCCCTGGTCTTCAGGGCTTTCCTCTGAGGCTTCTGTGCAGAGACGGAGGGAGGTGTCAGGTCCCTACCGAGCTGATGAAGTACATGGGAGGGTAGGGGCTCAGGGGGCCAGTTACATGACTAAGATCCTAGTGCGGGGAAAGCACACGTGCTGTCATGGCCTGGACACAATATCCTGCCTGTTTGCCCCTCGAAAAGACCACTTTCCCACTCCAGAGCCCTGTGTGCCAGGGGGAACAAATGACAGAGGAGGGACCAGTGCATTTGCAAATAGGCGTGGTCCTGCCTCTGCAGATTCTCAACCTTCAGCCCCACCAGTCACAGACATGCAGACAAAGGGACGAGATCCCACAGTCAAGCACCATCTAGTTTATCTGGGTGAGTCTGAGAAAGATACAACCTACTGGCAGCCATTCCTCAGTATAAAAGACAGGTCCCAACTGAACATCTACAATGGACTGAGGCTCCAGCCATTTCTATTTCGAGCTCTAGGATGAGCTAAACCCTTGAGACTGTGCTAAGGGGCTTAGCACCCAAAGCTTGCAGTGTATTGAAGATTTTATCTCCGGTGTGGTTTTTTTTTTTTTTTCCTTTGTAGATTTGGGCTAAAGATGCTTGTGTGCAGATGCCCACACACGCAAGCCTCCTCATCCCTATGCACTGGGCTCACTGCTATATACACTTGGAGTCTTGGTTTGCAAAAGGCTCTAAAGCATACCTTTGTTTCTCCTTTCTAGAGAGAGCCCAAGAATAGGAGATTCTGGGTTCAGAACACAAGAGAGCCTTTGAATTAGGTTCAGCTAAGAAAAGACATTTTGAGTTTGGAATCCCAGTTTGACCCAGGGCCCACACTGAACAACCTAGGTCGTAGTTAAGCCACCACATAACTTCAGTCTGCCTTTGGAAGTAGAACTGGAAATGGCTGTGGGAGTTAAGTCTGCCTTGAGTTTTTGCTGTGTGGCTGCCTCCTACTAAGTCTTTAAAAGTACTGGCTGAGAGCCGGCCGAGTGGTGCGATGGTTAAGAACTGGCTTGGGACACCAGAGGGCCCCGGTTCGGATCCCACATATGAGGGCCAGTGACACTGCCCTCTACAGCTAA